ACTTGTTCATAAGACACATTTGCAAGATAAGGCTCTGGTGGTTATGACGCCATTTTGTTATCTTAACATATTAGAGTATTGGTTATCATATAGCAGAAGCGTAGGTTTAACGTAAATGATAGGTAATGCCGTGAAAATTGTGTGAAGCAAGTTATGAACGTGATTATATGCACGACACCACATCAGCGTGTATTTGACAGACACTTTATACATACACTTAATATGCATTTCATAGATATCAAAACCATAATTGATTGGCTATATGCATGGCATATGCCAGAATATGGAAGGACACACACAAAACAAGCATGCAATAGTGAATGAAATTCCATAGCAGAGATGACTATGTCGCATAAATTTACACAGTGTGCTGTAAGTAGAATCTTGCCACCAGCTTCGCATTGCATAGATTACTTTACTACACTGTACCTGCCAGTATTATTTTGTGTTCGTAATGCTTTTTAAAGTTCGAAGCGATTAGATGGCACTTATGGCATTTTACTATCTCGTCAGATTTTTGATGTCATAGAGATTGCATCTCAATGATGAGGATAAGGGCGGTACCAAAAGCAATACACTTGACTCAGCATATGAGACGACTTTCTCAAGATATTTAGACGACGCAAATTACTGGGGAATAATAGACAAAAGGGAACAGCTCTTTCCTTTCACCTACTTTTCATTAGTAGCTTGGCTCGTCAAATCTTGTAACATGCACCAGCTGGCCCAAAAGAAAGTTTATTGAATTAATTAAATAAAGACCTTATTTTGTTTTTATTTTTATCCACTGCTACTATCAATTATCTCGTTATACCTACAAGCCAAATGATCCAGCCTTATCAATTGCTTTTCAGGTTGCTTATTCTCTTCCTAAATGTCCATAACATAGGGCCCTGGAGCATCCCATATTGTTTTGCTGGTTAGTGCATGCAATATTGACTGATCAGTGAAGATTCCTTACTGTAGTTCACGTGAGACTACAATGGGAAGTGAACCCTGTTCTTCATAATCTTTATCGTCTTGACTCACAGTGCAGGTTTATCTACAATCGCTATTAGGGACTTTCTAGTAAAAAAAGTTGACCCCCCTCCATTACTGATCCTTGCCCTCTCGTCATTTCTTGTCTCATTATTATTACCATAATAAGATAAAACCGAAAATAATGATCAAAGAGTCTGCATTTATGGACAATTACGTCCTGTATCGGCAATTTGACTATTCCAGAGGCCACCATGTTCTTTATATCTTAACAACTCCTAACCACGTCCCACTTTAGAACTGTCTTGCCTATGGGACATAAGGCAACGCCATGTTTTTTGGATTTTAGGGAAGAAAAAAATCAAAGTATTATGTAGACAAAACAGTGCACCACATAACTTGCGACTAAGTGTGATACGCATGTCCGGAAAGCTGATTAAAAATGTATAAGCTCTTTCAACCTCTTTTACCTGAAACTTCCAGTCTGTTTGACGGTGGCTATAATACCCAAGTCCGAAATATAAAGCACAGAATTGTGTGCAAGAGCATTCATATCCTAATTGTCACCATATCAAGTTTCCTCAATACACGGAAGGCTAAGAAGTCGGGCATCCAAAGGCATATACTGTTAACAGCTGGGTGTTTATTTCAAGCACTGGATTGTTCTTTGTGTTAGTGTAACACAGTGTTTTTTGAAATAATGTCAGAAAGTGACTCTCAATTCAATTTCGCCATTGCAGTTCTTCAACGACTTCGTATATATTTTACATTTAGGCACAAATAGTTAGTAAAATGGTTGTATGTGTTTGAATATTGAAAGGAATCCCCATTGAACATGTAGTGTAGAAATAAGCACACGGGTTAAGCATCGGTAATATTGAAAGATTGCAGTAGTATTCAAAATTCATGAGTCGCGCTTTGTTGGGCCTACACAAGACAGTGTGATTTTCCCCTCTCAATATAGAACAATGGCCTGGTGAACTCACAACATCTAAATGCGCACGTGTCAGAATATCTAGTCAGATCCGACTGCAACGGGGCCAAGTAGACAGAGTGTACATGTGCACACAAAAGAAAACGCGTAGGCGCCAAATCCAGCTTTCGGAGCCTAAACGCCGTGCTATAAAAGGGTTCTTTTAACAGGCCAGCGCAGCAGCCCCCTCCCCCCCCCCCCCCCGGCAATGTTCTAAACCCTACGTTGCCGCTTTACGCTTTCAAGGCTGGGCGTAAGAACTCACGCCACATGGTTTCATTCACACACACACACACAAATGACAAAAGGAGAAGCTTTCAGAATGAGCGCTTGGGCCGTCATGGCTGGCTGCCTGAATGCGCCGGAAATTAAGTTCGTCTGCAGCGTTTGTCATCTACTACATGGGTCTTGCGCTTTATGTCCCGTGCAGTTTTTACATAGCCGTGCGTCTCGATGCTAGTTTCGGCTGCTGCACATGTTACCGCTGCGTGACACGAGCCTGCTTCTGGTTTTCAAGAGGTGTTATCTTTGTATACGGAATGTGACTGACAGGCTACTTTATGCGTCCACCTAAGAGGTATTGAAGGCAAACGCTAGCTTCGGTCTCTTTCTCCGCTGTCTCTATGTATACACTGACCATTATCGGGCCCCCACATAGTACTCTGCGGGCCTAACGAATTCTCGCACGACCTGGATAGGATGCCTTGCTGTCCATCTCCTTCTTACGTAGTTTTCAACTGCCTCCGTGAGCGGCTCACCTTCGACCAAGCAACAATTTCATGTGAAGACGTCACCACGTTGCGACAGCTTGCATTACGTCATGATGTCGACAGTATGACGATATACCAGTGAAAGCATCCCGTGTTCATAACCTGCATCACTCGTGCTGTCACCACAGACACCGACAATCATGTTCACTTTTCATGAGGCGTCTTATATAAATAATGAAAAATACCATGGTAATTCTGCGTCCGAAAACCACGATATCATTATGAAAGAAGCCGTAGTGGAGGGCACCACCAATTTCGATGATCTGGTGTCTTTTAACACGCATGGACATCACACAGTACACGGGCGTGTGCGATTTCACCGTCATTGACCACGACCAGGTGTCGAATCTGCGCCCTTCATGTCAGCAGCGGAGCATCCTAGCCACTGATCCACCGAGGTGGACATCCACCGAGGTCCTGATTCGCTACAGCAGCAAAGTCCTCAGACGTGCAATGCAAGCAGGTGTAACGCGTCCATTTATTTATCGGTAATTTTTGACTGAAGTGAAACAAACTGCACGAAAGTAGTGCGTTAACGTGCTTGCTGCCTTCAAGAGTGCGAGTTTTCTTGCGCCGGCTGAACTGAACAATCCGCGGAAAAGAGAACATACGGCCGCGAGCATACGTATCTATGGGAGGATCAACGTACACTTGAAAAAGAGGTATAGTGGGACACCCCCGCTGGCATTGCTGCGCAGCTGACATGTTTGCTGAGTGGCGCCACTGATGCGTTTGCACGCGGTGCATATAAGTAAACCACCTCAAATGCCGTTCAAGCATGCGTTTGCGACGCCATCAATTTTTTGTGGCTGCTTTACGAAAACCACGTGGGGTGTGCTTGCGTCAAACTTGTGCACAACTTGCTGAGCTCGGGCGCAAACTTGAGTGCCTGAGAAGCTAGGGTCATCCTGCATAGCTTTCATGATCTCTTCTCTTTCATCCTTGTTAGCACATTTCAGTTATATTATGAATTCATATCGCTAAACATTATGCCACGTTCACTTCCGTGGTACAGTGGTCACGGCGCCCATCTGTGGACCCAAAAGCCTCAGATTGTATACTGGACTCTGCAGTTGCATTTCAATGAAATTCGAAGGCTACAGAAATCGTAACTTGTCCATGTTTTCTAAAACACCAGAAGACCAAAATTTCAAAACTCTGTTGTGCAGCTTACCCCATAACCATATTATGGTGTGAGAACCTAAATGGTGAGGCAATATTTTCAGTAGTATTATAATTGATTTTCTTTTATGAAATGTTGAGCGCCTGTGACTGCTTTCTAACTCTGACCTCTGTGTATTGTTTGCCTTGTTATTGTCAATAACTATAGAGTGACAACTCACGCAATCGTCATGTTAATAACTTAAAATAAAACACATGAAAAAAAAAACATATCAACATATGGCCACTTCACAGTGGAAGGTTTCAGTCCATAGCAATCAGAAAACGCTTCAATGAATATTGACGCGTCGTCTGCAATCATATTTCCGGTTTTATTTTGAATTTATTTCATTTCTTCTCACTATAACTTAGGTTAAAGCTACATACAGAGACATCACCATAAACTGAACATATTTCCTTTGCAACACTGCAACGATGCTGTTTTTTTTTTTCAGAGTACCCTTGAAGTTTCGAATGATTTTTCGAGGATGTAGGGTCTTTACATTACACTGAATTTCTATTCCATGTTGACAATTTTTTATATTCATATTCACTGTTTCTTGTTTAGTTACTCTTCTTTATATCCAGCACCCCAGTCCTGCGATAGCTCTTGAAAGCTCCATTGAGAATGAAAACAAATAAAATTTTAACTAAAACCAACACAGGCACCAATACACAATACTGCAAAAAGAAAATCAAACAAAACCAGGGCAATTACAACGAGTGGGATGCGGGGAGACGCTTGCAAGTTGAAAGCACTTGATTGGACGCGGTTTTCATTCAGTGAAAGGAAGCAAATGGAGCTAAGGTGGAGTGGTCTAGAAAACAGGAGAAAGTGACTAACGACAATCAGAACCTAAATGCCCAAGGAAGGGAACCGTTAGGCATGGCTGATGCCACGGGCGTTCCTTTTTTTCTCTTTTATTTTACGGAACAGAAGCACTCGTAGTGTAATGATGAAGACAGTGAAAGAGAAAAACAGGTAAGGAAAGACGCAGTACACCACGTGACTTCACCGCGAGACGCCCCCGCTCCTCTCTGCCTATCCTTCTCCCTGCTCATCTAGGGTACAAAAGAGGCCACTGGTGCCCCTTGAAGAGTCGGGAGACACATTCTACAACTTTGTCGTCCACGGCCTCAGTTCCTCTGTCTCCCCTTTTTCCCGTGTACCCACGGGCCATTTATACATACGAGGGAAATCCTGCTGCCGGGAAGAACAAGTCCAACCGAGCCTTCGAGCATCGCAACTCTATTTCTTCTCCAAATCTCACCGTGCGACAGAGCTACTCTAAAGGTGAGTGCATTTGCTATAATTACCGTGCACTGACCAGATGGAGCTGCTTTGCCCGAACTGCCCCGATCATAGTTCGCTGATATTGCCCGCTAGACGCAGGCAGAAAACAGACATGATTTGAATGCGAGCACTCGTCCACCGCGTAACCTGTTCACAATCATGCAGAGAGGGAGACGGGCGTGTCACGTTTCATTTGAAAGAACGTCGTCTCATAATTGCTTTTTTTATTCCTTAGGCTTTGCATTCGGGGGCTGTAGTCACACAGCGAAACTCCACTGTACGTTGCCTATGAAAAAATATTGGCAGCCTATCCACGGAGTGATTGATGGAGACTGGGGCGAAGCATTCGTCTGTCCATTCGTTCTTGCTTCCATCCGTCCATGCGTCTGTCTGTGTGGCCATCCATGCGTCCATCCGCTCATCCATGCGTGGGTCTATTCGTGCGTCTGTCCCTGTGTTCGTCCATGCATCCGCCCCTGCGTCCGTTCATGCGTCCATCCATGCATCTGTCTGTGTGTCCGTTCGTCCATCTATCCAACACTCCAAGTACCACAATCTCGCATATTTTTATCATATATTCCCCATATAGAAGCACCTCCATCCAGCGGAAATTCCAAGGACTAAATGAGAGGTGGCACACGCACACTGTCTTACGGATCGCGCTTCGGGTCTGCTTCCCACGTTTAACCACCTCGAGTTCATGGTATATACTAGTTCACTGTATTCATGGCACTGTGGCCCAACGCTCGCTAAACCTTTCTAAAACCAAGGAGGTTACGCCCAGCGAGTATGACGTAACAAACTTTTTCAGTCAGATAGCGTTCAATGTACATGCCAATGGCTGCTAATGGGAAATTAGAGACAGGAGAATTCGGCTTTTACTTTCTTATGGCTTGCGCTTCGTATCTACTTCCCACCTTTAACCACCTCGAGTTCATGGTATATACTAGTTCACTGTATTCATGGCACTGCGGCCCAACGCTCGCTAAACCTTTCTAAAACCAAGGAAGTTACGCCCAGCGAGTATTACCTAGCAACCATCGTTTCCCAGATAGTGCTCAATGTAGATACCAATGGCTGCTAAGGGCGAATGAGAAATTAGAGACAATGGGAAATTAGAGACAGGAGAATTCGGCTTTTGCTTTCTTACGGCTTGCGCTTTGTATACATATATATCTACTTCCCACCTTTAACCACCTCGAGTTCATGGTATATACTAGTTCATTGTATTAATGGCGCTGCGGCTCATCGCTCGCTAAACCTTTCTAAAGCTAAGGAGGTTACACCCAGCGAGTATAACGTAGCAACCCTTTCTTGTCAGATAGTGCTCAATGTACATGTCAGTGGCTGCTGATGGGGATTGCAGCGTGCGCGTTAACTAAAAGCCGAATGCTCCTGTTTCTCATTCGCCCTTAGCAGCCATTGGCATGTATATTGAGCACTGTCTTTTATTGTTCAACAACCCACAGAAGAAATCTCTCATAGGCACTCAAAAAAAAAGAAATCTTTCAAAAAGGATCAATATGTTATACTTGTTACACACTACAACGGCTACGAGGGATGAACAAAGGCCGCTAGAAGGAGTTTCGCCCCTAAAACATCTTCTGCAGTCATTCTGTACATGTACAGGTTGTAGTAGATTGCATCTGTAGGCAACGCGACGCGCACAACAGGAACATTGATCCCTGCATCGACCTCCACCACCGGCTATGCCTTTTTCGCAAGTGCCGTGATCCTCGGCGCCCACACGGGCAAACAGCCATTTGTGCCTTTTTCCCGCGGCTTGGAGATCACGCTTGCGCTTCTCTCAGCAGTTGGCCTTTGGACTCACTATATGAGGAATGCATGTCGTTCTCTTGCAAGGAGAGCGGGACTTGAAAGAGAACGGACGAACATAGATGGACGAACCGGCAATATCAAGCTCCTGCTGCGAAATGTGAAGCCATGGTCGCTGGTTTTTCTGAAGTGATGTAGCTCTAAGATTTGACCAATTTTTGCTAAGAGGTAAATCGGCACAGCATTGCACTTGAAACAAAATTTACATTTACTTATTTTAACTGTGCATACTGTGAGCACTTCCCGCGCTGCTAAAGGAGCTAGGGAATACAATACAGATACATGAAGAAAATATTTGCAAACCTTAGAAAAAGAAGAGTAAGGTCCCTTTTAATGAATGTAATTAACACATTTCTTGATTTGATTGATATGTGTGGTTTAACTTCCTGAAACGACCACATGATTATGAAAGACGCCGTGGTGGAGGGCTCGAAAAATTTCGGTCTATTGGGGTTCTCTAACTGGCGCCCAAATCCGAGCACACTGGTCTACAGCTATTTTGCCTCCATCGTAAATGCACTTCCACGGCAGGGATTTGTTCCCGCTACATGCGGGTCAGGATCCGAGTACTTTAGCCACTAGACCACTGTGGCGGGGCAATCACCACAATTACGTGAATACGGGAGGGGGATCGTTATAGTGCAGACTGCATTCAACGAGGTAATCTAGTAATTGTAGGTTTAGGTACAGCAGTCACTACCATTTGTCATGGTTGCACTTTCCTCACCCTTCTTTGAATAAAACTCTGACAAACACATGCTACAGCGTCGAAACAAACCACACACGTTCTGTAAAATATCGATGAGACACATGAAACGTTTGTCACAGCGTAGCTCTCGCAAAATAAAAAAAACGTGACTGTTAGAATTGATTACTGCGACTAAGTTAAATGAATGGAATAGTTGGGTGTATTTTTCTTCAAGCAAGCATGTCGAGAAATCGGCCAGTGGAAGTCTGCCCAGCTGTAACATTGCCTTTCTACACTTACAATGAGAATATTTGAGGCTTCGCATCTCAAAACAACAATCGGAATATAAAGGGCATCCTAAAGGAAGGCTCCAAAAATTTTCATTGTCTAGTGCTCTTTACATGGACGTAAATTTACGTGCACGCGTTTCTATTATGTTGGCCTCCACCGAGATGCTGTAACAGAGGCAGGGATTCCTCTCCCGCCCCCTTTCTGTTGATGACAAGTAGGTTGATGGCGTTTATGTCTGTGCTGGTCTAGAGCTTACAGCAAAAACACTTCCATCCGGTCACTTTATGCTCTGCGGGCGTTAATGCTGCGCTGATTCAACCCATATATGCTCAGTGTCCTTCATGTACGACACTTCTTTGATTGGTTGTAATATTGTTACTTTTTAACGGAGGACTAACCCTACCTACAGCAAATGGAGCAAGTATGTGGAGTGTGTTAGCTTACATGTTGCTTCCTCTGGTCATTGCCACGTGTGGACTGATTCATTTTGGTGAACGCGTACTCTTAGCGATGACCACCCAGGAGAGGAAGAAGATGTATTACCATTTCTGTGATTTCAAATTGCTGCGACACCTTTTTTGCCCAGCTCATAGTAGGTGAGAAACTAAACAAGCTAAAACACAGCTGAGTAATAATCATGAAACTTAATGAATAAGGTGTCAGAGGGCGATGTCAGTGAAACGTGGTAGCTGCAGTGTTTACATGGTTTGTTTGTTGGGAATTGTTTTTTGAGTGGGAGACAAGTGGTCCTCATCCGGTGAAGACAACGACGACAGTCAGTAAGTCAAAATGACACAAGTACATACACATGAAAAGCCAGCGGGCAACGAGGAAACGGATGAAAAGCACGACGGGCCAGGCTGGCACATAAACTGGTTAAATTATTGCTTGAAACGAAAACAAAGCGCGCGCGCATGTGCCAAGCAGCCATACGTCATAAAGAACACATTCTTAATGACATATCGCGGCGTTTAGAAAGGTCATCTCTTTAATGTATTGGTGCACTGACGTGTCTGTGACATGTGCACAATAGTTTTCACTTTTGTTAACCTAGAACTTTTCAGAAATTTTTCTCTCGTCATGATCTTCCTGCATTTTCATGTTTCCCACTCGTATTCTATGCGTATCGACAAGTACAAACTGGCCCAGTTCATCGCCTTGGTGACCTAAGTCTGGCACTCAACAAAAAATGCAGGACCTTAAGACAAAGCCGCACCATGCTCTGCGTGCACACGATAAAATGTGATAGTTTTTCTTTACCCAAGCAGAGCTATTGAACCATTTCTTCTATACAGACGTCATTGCACTGCTTGTTCAGGAAACGAAGCTTGTACGGGGATAAAATAAGGCTCTTGAAACCTTTTCGAGTGGTCTTTGACAATGTCTCAAGAAAATGTGACAGCTGTGTGAGCCCGCAGCAGCTGTTTTAGGGAAGATCGAAAAGTCGCACGAAACACGCCATGAGGTAAACACGCCTTTGCGCTCATAAATGTTTGTAAGTTAGCGCCACTATGGTGGTTTTGGTGCATTAAACCCCACGTATCTCATCATTTTAGCGTCACCAAACTCAATCGCTCACTACATTTTCCTACAAGAGTGTTGCTTGTTGGGCAAGAGGGTAATATCAGGGTGAAAGAGAGCGACAACAACGATGACAGAAAGAGACGCAACCAAGCGCTGAACATTAACCATGCGTTTGTTTGTGCAAGCATGAATAAACGCGCATTTTCACATAATAAAAGGGGGAAAGCGCTTGTGCTCTATCATGTATTACCTTGCATTTACGTATTGGTACAGGTATTTATTCTTGTCTGGTAATGCTGTCAAGGTGCGCTGACACAAGCTGATCCCACATTATGCATTTTGAAAGCGTCGTAAGTTTATCGTGCTCTGGAATCACCGTAACTGGAAATAACGCGCGTCTGTTGAAATAGGGGCTACACCAGCCGCTAGCGCAACGAATCGCCAAATCGCTGCCTGTCTTCCTTATAATATTCCTAGCATGTTATCGTAGCCAGGCAATAACACACCGATCCCTTTGTCTCATGTAAAAGCCTCTGCATGACGTCTGGTCTCGTACACTTCTCCTGTTTTGCAGGGAACAGTGACTTGCGTGTTTCTCCTGGCAACGTGCGTTCCTCCAAATTTGCCGATTTGCCTCGCTTGCAGAGGCAGCTCAGTTTTATAAGAGTCGAGCAATTCAATTTTATTCGAGCTCGTTCAGCCGTTTTTCTTACCCGGCTGGAGACGCCGCGAAGGTAGAGTGACGTTGGTACATGCCTAGTTTTGAAAAAAGAAAGCCACTAAAACGACGAGAAAAGGAGACAATTGAGAGGTAGAGGCCGATACAGTGAACATAGTGCTGTATGCCGACAAATTACATTTATTTCAAAAAAGGCCTCCACCTAAGTCCGTACAGGGCATGTTCAAATCACCTTACTAAATCACTGCGCCAATATTATCCATGCAGATCATCTAATGTCATGAAAATCACTCAGCTTTCCTGGTCGAAAACAAAGACTATGTGCTTATCGTGTTAGTGGCCTACTTTGAGTTAAGTAAATAACCCTACATGGAGTGCGTCTGCCTTGTGCGAGGGCTGTATGATCACATGCAGGATGTGTTTCGTTCGCAATATGGGCACTGTGACGATATCATCATTTGACTATGTTCTCAAGGAGAATGAAAGATATAGTACAAATAGGTAAAACTATCTTACGGAGGGACATTGCAACGCGACATCAGAGTACCTCTTTTCGCATTGGCAGAAAGGTGATAGTACTGGAGGTGGATGTTGTACCACTTCACTAGCACTGCGGTTAACTCATTGCTTCACTGCCGCGAACATCACTGCGTCAAAATCAGGGCACACGTATCTCTCGTGTTTCTCTCATTTATACTGCACAACGCGTATTCCGCCCACAATATTTCGGCAATGTTCTTTGTTTTATACTTATCACTTAGCAGCTATCGTCTGTATTTATTCATTTCCCTGACTAATCTTGTGAGCATTGCACAATCCTATGTATCATCCATACAAGTAGCTCAGTCTTTCGTTCTTATCTGCGCATCTAACTTCCTGCTGCCCTTCCCCCTCGCTCAGGCAGATTTTATTAGAACGCAGTCTGTTACTTTTTTGTTTTCACCTGTGAGAACAACGCTTTTTAATATGTATTTTCATATTCCCACCCACGCTGCTTTCATTCTGTTTTATTATACCGGTCCATTGCATGTTTAGATACTGCCTCCCCAAATCCGCGCCAAAAAGTATCGGAGCGTTCTAGATAATTTGAGGATCTGCTGTGATGATGATTTGTGGGGTTCATTGTCTTATAACCACCATATGAATATGAGAGACACCATAGTGGAAGGCTGCGGAAATTTCAACCAACTGGGTTTCTTTGACGTGCACCAAAATCTCACCACACGAGCCTACAGCATTTCAGCCTTCATCGATAATGCAGCTGCCGCAGCCGGGATTTGATCCCACGACCTTCGAGTCAGCAGACGAGCAGCTTAACCACTAGACCACCGCTACGGGGCGAGGATCTGCTGTTCAGCTTAAGCAAATGAATAGGAACAGCTGAGCCCATTCTCGAACAAACGCGACCACCAGCAATAACACCGAAATGTTCGATGCCACGTGCGTAAGCGCCAACGCGCCTTACCACAAATGAGCTCCATTCACTGCCGACGCTCTGTTCACTGCTCTCGGTGTATACAGCGTGTATTTCTGTGGTACGAGGTTTCAAGTATCGGGCACAGGTCCACCTAAATAGGAAGTTCCAGCTCTAACACGCCATCTGCTGTCTTCGTCAACGCCACGACCCTATGACAATATATAATACGCTTTCTTTGTACCTCCTGTTCGGTCATGCATGTCCGGAAAGAAATGTCGGATACAGATAACTATTAGCGCCTATTTTCCTTTAAAAGGTTTTGCGCAGCCTGTGTGTTAGCATAAACTCGCTTATCGAAAAAAATGCACCACCTTCTGGTAAAGGATACCATGTGTAGATGCGAAGCAGCGGGCACCAACGCTTTCACTGACTGCGGCGTTGATGCTGGCACTCATCACGGCTTTCCGCAGGAGAGAAACCTGGGGAGGCGCAAAGCATGCACTGATGGACCGGCATTCTCAACTAGAACTTACCAACCTCTGCTATGGGCAATGAAAGGCAGGCGACTCTGATTGGACATAGAGACCCGCAGTCCGCTTTTAGTTTACGCGCATGCTGCAAACGTTTAATTTCATCAATGCACAGGAAAAAATCTCTCATCGGCACTACCTTGAAGGTCAAGATATAGTGCTTATACATAGGGGTCGCCAGTGAAGGGTTCTGCAGTGCGACCAGTCAATTTTTAAAAAATCAAACTCTCCAGCAGATGCTGCTTGTGTTGGCGTTGCGAAGTGAGAGAGGGGAGGAGCGTTGGAAAGGGGGGTGTAAATTGCACTTGGAGAGATGCTTAAAGGAGATAGAAGGGGGCGCGAGTGTATGGCAGTAGGCACTGCCTGCGTCGGCGTTGCGAGGAGAGAAATCAAGTAGCGTGGGAGAGAAAAGAGGGGGAGGGTCTCGCATACGCTGTAAGGGTGGTCACGCCGCACACCGGATCGAGCTCGATCATGAGACGCTTCGAGTCTAAAAGCTTGCTTTTTATTTCTCGCATTCGCAGATGAGTGCTGGCTTCCTGGGGGCGCTCATTCATAGGCTCACGGCTGCGCTGCTCGTGTGCTCGTTTATGGTGCTGACGCAGCCCAGCGTCTGCGCGGCGCGCAACCTGCACAAGCGCTCCTTCCATGAGCTCGGCTGCCGTGGCAACTTCGAGCAATCATACCTGGCCCGTCTCGAGCGAGTATGCGAAGAGTGCTACCAGCTGTATCAAAACCCGGAGGCCTACAACCTATGCAGGTACACTACCAAACTCCTCGAACTGACAAGACGACAGCCTAACGTCTGCATAAAAAATATGGATGTAGACGGAAAAGTGCTTTGGAGAATCGGTATATACATGCCCTTGCAGGTTACAACAGTCGAATGGGGGCGGAAGCTGGGCTAGGGATGGCGCTTAGTTTCCTACGTCTTCTAATGCGGGCAAATGATTGCTGTTGTTGGCTGGCGATTGCTACTATCTGACCCACAGTCGACTATTGTTTACTTTTGTATATTAACTTTCACTCATGATGGCTGGTGCTTGCTAGTGCAGAAAAAATATGTACAGTACCGCGCAGTGCTGTTTATTTGTCACTAAACGTTGGCAGGTGTGCTGTAAGTACTGGCTGACATTACCAGTGAACAAATGTTACTTAACATTGGCGAACCCTAAAAGTAGGGATGAATTTTGATGGCTTATACTGATTACCACTGCCTATATTGTTAACGAACTGTCGTCTCCCCTGCAGCGTGCAAGTGATTTATTTTTTGGGGCACTACTTGTTTATTTTTATGTTTATATAATTATTATTGTGATATGAACATTTCATTTATACCTTCGAGTCGATTTTGAGAATTAAAATACTTCGATTAATTCCACTTTCTAATAACAGCACGTCAGCCTGCCGGAAAGTACAACTTCCTCGACGAAACGGAGATCAGAATCGTAGTTAATGTGCCCACGTTTGTCGGAACATCAGCCATTCTTTAGGAGCCTCTGGGCAGTCCGCGCTATTTTGAGGAGTGTTATGTTATTTTTTTTAAAAGTTACATTAAACAGTAAAATAAAACGAGGCCAGCAACCCGGCAACCTTCAGTGTGCGAAAGCAGGGCTATCTTGTTTATTAGCTAATCCTACCTAAACCCAGTTGGTGGGTAATGATTAGGTAGCTCCCTGTTAGTGATTTGACATGGCATAAGTAGCCACAGCATGCTTCATCGACGGGCATTCACTCGTGATTATACGCATGAACAATTTTTAAGCGCAGTTAGTGAAGCTAAAATGTGGTATCGAGATTTGCGTACCACTATATCTGTCAAGCAGCGTTGATAATCTGATCGGTCTTATTTGGCATCTACAATTTGTTCATCTACGCAGGGACAACTGCTTCAAGAACGAGTACTTCCTGAAGTGTGCCGAGGCGCTGCTTCTGAAAGATGAGATGGACAGTCTCAAAAGCAAGGTCGATTACCTCTACAGCCGCTGACCGGTTTGTCAAACAGAGGAAGAGGAGCCACCCACCAGTGTTTTATACTTTTTTTTTCAAAGACACGCCCCAGTACCAACTGGTTATTATCTGCTCCGCAAAAATACCTACCATAGGTGCAATTACTATTCTCGCCAAGTGATGCGTAACGCAAAATACAGGAGAACGAAATCCCCTGAAAACGATTCGGTAAAACCCGGTGTGACATGTCTGGTGACACCTGGCTCGGAGAGTAACCTCGAGAAATATATGCATCTTGCTGAACCTTTACCGCTCAGAGAGCAAGCACGGCCTGGTGCCTACTTCTTCACGGGCTGCGCTCTGAAGCTTTACCAAGGAATAACTCCTGGTGCGATTACGAGGATGATGGCTGCTGCGTTGCGTCCACGATGACAACGCTTCTCTTAGACATTTATTTTGGCTTAGTTCCAACATAACCTTGCGTCTTCACTGCCTGCAAAGCATCGTGAATATATACATTTTGCTTCTGCGTGATGGTGGCAGATAGGCACTGCAGGTGAATGAGAACAAAAAAAAACATACATAAACTAAGCTTAAATAAAAATAAATCTATTTTATCCTCTTTATGCTTTCTATGTGTGTTATTTGGCATCCTAATTAATCTATGACCAATATGTTGAACCTAGATAGTTTTTATACAGAGAACGTTATATATAAAAGGAAACCCGTAGGATAATATATCACGCGTGAATAAAAGCTCGGTGGTGCTAAGGAGAAGACTTAAAACGTCTGTGCTTCACTCTGATGCCCAAACAGTGTCCGGAATCTATAATGGATATTTGCACATTGTGATTCATGAAATTCTTGTGCGGTAAAGCATGGGGAACTTCTGTGGTCTCCATGCTACAGCTGTACAGGGCCCTATTTCTGGGTCTATTGCGCTACAGCTTGCCGGTACTGACTAACACTTGCAAATCGAATACTCATTCATTGGAGAGTTTGCAGGGTCAGGCACTGTGTATCTGCCTAGGACTGCCCCGATGCGCTTCTACTTATGCCACAATCATGCTTGCCAAAGACCATCCGGTCAGGACATATAGAGTTGTGGATTGCCTCAGAGCGCACATTCGACATGCTAGCCGTGTCCCCGACCACGACTTAGCCCTTCTAGCTTCCGGAAGACCACGTGCTACGTTTTCAGACGTCATAGCCAAGCACCTAAACAGCATTCCATCAGGATATACGCCAGCTGCGAGAACAACTTGTCCTTTGTGGTGCCTCGACCAGGCGCAAGTACATCTAGAAATTCCGGGAATCAAAAAGAAAAGCAGTCACTCCAGAGTAGCATTGAAGCAAGCAACACTGCTATTATTACATGAGTTGTACTTAGACCGAACGCAGATATACACAGATGGGTCCGTCTCATCCAGCAGCTCATCAGGTGCCGCTTGATTCCGGCTGCAGAAATGACATCAAGTTTAAGTTGTCGCATATGACTACATCTACGGCATCAGAGCTTGCTGCTATAAGGGCTGCTTTACAATATCTCGTTCAAGAACGACCAGGAAAATGGGTCATATCCTGTGATTCGAAGGCAGCGCTTCAGAGTTTGCAGTCTGCCATGCGTAGGAGGAGTCATGACCAACTGGTACAAGAAATAAGACATTGCCATCATGGAGCTCTTGCACGAGGGCATGATATTATATATCAATGGCTGTCTGGATATATCGGTATTACCGGAAATCAATTAGCCGATGATGCAGCCCAATCAGCCCTTGAAGAAACCCGTGTAGTCCCGATTCCTCTATCAAGGAATGATGCAGCAAGGCAACTTTACCTGCTGGCTCGAGATCTCACACGCACGTTCTGGTCGTCTACCAGCTTCCAAAGGTGTCAATTTTATGAACTGGATCCTTCGCTCAAGCTAAAGCTACCATCACAACTTTCCCGCTCCGATGTGACACTGTTATGCCGCCTTTGGTTGGGTGTTGCATTTACAAAGGTGTCCTCCTTTCGAATTGGTATGGCAGACACTCCTACATGCGACTACTGCGGAGCTGAAGAGACCATCGAACACGTCCTGTGCAGTTGCGCTTGCTACGACACACAGCGATGCCAGCTCCGGATGGTTTTGAATCGACTTGACCCCGGACCATTTTGTGTGCAGAAGATACTAGGACCTTGGGCATCTGCCTCAGTTGCGCAGAAAGCAACAAAAGCACTGCTACTTTACCTCAAGTCAACAAACCTGAGCGACTGCCTGTAGACTGTGTGCTCCCCGAGTGTGCTCGTGATTGTGTGTACCTTCTCATGTTTCTGCAACATCTTTTCTCCCCTTTATCCCTTCCCCAGTGCAGGGTAGCAAACCGGATGTGCGTCTGGTTAACCTCCCTGCCTTTCCTTGCATCTTTATCTCTCTCTCTCTCTCTCTCTCTCTCTTGAGGATCTAGCTTGTCGAGTATACAGGGAATGAACAGGACACGAAACCAGACGAAAAAGAAACGGAAAATGTTCTTTTGTTTATAGTACTTACAAATACAACCTAAAAATACCTATTATTCTTCATAGCCCTATGTTAACCCTCAGGCTGTTCAAAGAAAATATGAGCCTGGTCCCCGCCGACTATAATGCCTATATGCAAGGCATTATATACTGAAATATTCATTTTTTATGTTTAACACCCGAGCGGGGACCGTTGCGTTATCTTCACCTAACAAGGCACTCGTTGTAAGAGCACACAATTGTGCCAATAGCGTTTTGTGGAAAGTAGATAGTTAAAAAAGGTCTAAGGCACCTTCGCACTGAAGGCGCTAAGCTCCAGCCAGAAGGGAGGGCAGAAGACGTTGATGACAATGATGATGCCTCAAATATGACTTATACCCATTCCGGAAAACTGGGCAGGAATTGATTACAAGAGTCAGTGAGACATTTTAGTAATGAACATTCATGACCAAGAGAAAAATAACGTACGTAAAACAAAGAGCTCAATAATTGTTCTTTTTACTATTAAGACCAGACAGTGTAGTCATTAGGTTGACTACCAGGGAACGTGACTAAACTTTTAATAATAAAGATAATATTATACTGTTATTATGCATTATTATTGATATTAACGGTAATATTATACCTGCTGCAGAGATCCACAGTTTTCTTTGTTTTTCTTAGGTCTTTCTCTTTCTTTCCTTCAGTCCTTGTTTCTTTTTGTAGTCTTCCTTTTTTCTGACATTTCTTTCCTCTCTGAATTTCGATTTATATTTTTCTCTCTTTTTATGTGCTCTTTATACTTTTTTCCTTTATTTCTCTCTCTTTTTACTCCTTCACAAGTGCCGATAGCACATGGCAGCACACGGAAACCTATACGCCCCTAAGGGGCATGCTCCGCAATTATTCTCATCACGGCGTTCAGAGAACAAGAGGAAGAAATCTTTTTCCGGGCTCCAGTCCGTGCTCGATATACTTAAGATGGCTTTGTCAATCTTTGTTTTTCCTATTAACAATACTTACGGCAGAAAATGGTGAAGGCTAACGATAGCCCGGAACCGTAGGGTGCTACGCACTCAAATAACTTGTTGCCAGGGCTGAATTCTGTGATAAAAACCATGGCGAACCAACGAGAGGTTTCGGGTACCACGCTTTTATATTATTTGTTATTACCAGTGCTGAATGGTAGGTAAACAGTAATCGTTGGTGAGTCTCCCTTTTTAAATCTACGAATATCCACTATTTCACGAATTCCATTGAAAGCATTTTTTATTTTATTTTATTTTATTTCAAGTTCTCTTATTACATGAAAATACACAACACTGGTTAAACCCATAGCCACTGGCTAGTAGGGGGTCTAAATAAATATGCATTTAAAGGAACAGATTGTGTTAACAAAGCAGATATTTTATAAGTAAACTTCAATCATACAAGAAAAAAATCGAAACAAAATATAAGAAGGAAACATATTTGTGATAAGTCATTTGCAGTATCTTGCAGCATTGTTCCATGCAAACAACGGATTGTATGTATACAATACATCAAATACATAAAGGCATGTATACCATGTCAAGTATGATTTTGTTAGACATATAATCTATACATAACGAAGTGGAGATTACAACGAGGTGTGTGTTAGTGTACCTGTTCATTTTTCTGCAGAAAGTATTTTTTAAGAGCACAGGCAAACCTTTTGCTTTCTTTTATTCGGCATGGTATATCATTTCAGACCTTTACTCCAGCAAATTGTAGCAATCGTTTGCCATAAACAATGTTAGTAGGCGGAAGATTAAAATTATGTAATGTGGCCCGTCTGGTAAGACGGCAAGAGGATGAAAATACTGATATATGAAAGGGCAGGTTATAAGAAATGACATTATAGATGGTAAGTGCAATTTTTTGCTGTCATAAATTATCGAATGGTATGATTTCCATATTACGAAACAATGGCGCGCTGTGTTGATCATATCTAGCATTGTTTATTATTCGAAGTGCTCGCTTTTGTAATATACGTAAGGGTTCTAGATACGTTTTAGAAGTCCATCCCCATGAATCTATGCAATATGTGAGGTGACAATGAAAAAATGTGAAATAGAGAATTTGGAGAGAACTACTTTTAAAATAATTTCTAGCGGTTAATAATGTACTGCATCCAGATCCCAGTTTAGCGCATACAGAGTTAATGTGGCTTTGCCAGTTTATCTGGCTATCGAGAATTACACCCAGATATTTGAATTCGTTCGTATTCTCAAGCACGCAGTTATTTATTGTAATGTAAATGGACTCATTACTTATATCTCGATAACAGGAGTGGAAAATAGTGTATTTAGTTTTCTTTGCATTCAGTGTTAGTTTATTCGCTATAAACCACTGACAAACATTTTTTAGTTCTACATTACTTTTATGCTCGATATCCCTTATATTGTCTGCAGTAACAATAACGGCTGTATCATCAGCGTACATTAGCATCTCCGCCGATGTCAATATGTTTGGTAGGTCGTTTACGTACAGTGAGAACAGTAAGGGTCCAAGAACGGAGCCTTGTGATACTCCTGTGTGTATATTTAACAGGGAGGAAGTGAGATTATGCATAATCACCATTTGTTGACGTTCGCTCATGTAACTAGGAAATAAGTCAAAAATTTTGCCACGTAAACCGTAGTGTCTTAATTTCATTAGTAATATATCATGGTCAATTGTATCAAATGCTTTCTTTAAATCAAGAAAAACTACTGCTACAAGGAGGTTATTATTTAATGCTTCGTTAATTTTTTGTGATACAGATAGTACAGCAGTGGCGGTGGAATGGTGCGCCCGAAATCCATGTTGCTCGGCGCATATTACACGATATTTTTCTAGGAAGACGCGCATCCGTTTTGCTAGAATTCTTGCAAATATGTTATTTATTATGCTTAAAACAGATATAGGCCTATAACTTGAGGGATCAGAGCGATCACCCTCCTTGTACACCGGTACTACTTCAGCAGTTTTCAGACAGGATGGGTATGTTGACGTACGCAAGGAGTGGTTATATATATGGCATAGAATAGGGCCTAAGACGTCAATATTGTCTTTTACTATCCACGCTGTGATCCCATCTATCCCGCTGGCTTTATTGGTGGCTAAATTAGCAGTAGTGTTTTGA